TCATCTTATGCTCACAAGCACTATTTTTACCTTCTGTAACATATGAATATAAATAGCTGAAACAGAAAAAACATATATGCCAAATACAGAATCTTGCTGTTACCAGGCAAGCATCTTTGTTCCATCTAATAAGTGTGCATCTTCCATCTGCGTTAGAAACATGAATTAATGAGACATTTGCTTCAGGAAACTATAAATTTAGTCAGTTATAACTGCAATTTACATCTGTCATAGACAGGATGGACTTACATTCTCACAAGGAAGAACAAATATTTCTGGAGGACGTGATCATGGTCTCTCCATCTCTATCTTCTTTGCAGCCGACTAATAACATTTGGCTTGTAAAGTCCATGGACTATGTACAAATCATTTTGATACCTGGACATCTGGAAAACCTTGTACAGTGTTAATGGTGTGCTTCAAGTTGCATAATTTCACTCCGCAATAGCAAAATTACCCTGCAGAAGGCTACAACCAGATAAGAGGAAGAACAATATGTTGCACTCACTGATGCACAGTCACAGCAAGAGACTATAAAGAGAACAGAAATTTCTTGTAACAGAAATTTTAGTCGAAATCTATTACTATTTTATATGCATTTATTTAACAATTATTTATCAATTTTTTTTCTACCATGCCTACTGCTAGGTGTTGCAGAATCCAGTAGTTCAATACACACAAGCCTGCAGCAGCCCCATGTCCTGAGGTGCTGTTATTAATGAGTAGTGAAGCCGAGCATGCAACCGTAGCAGACACAATGCACATGTGCTCACAATACATGTTTGTGTATACATGTCTGGCCGCGCAGACCAACACAGATGGAACGCACAGCATTTAGACAAACACAAGCAGCAGTAATGGCCTGACCTTGTTCACTTTTTTATGGTGCTCAGGATGAATACCCATTAATGGAAAATATGTATATGTATATGTTTAACATGGACCTCTCCTGCAGCTGGTCTTATACACTTAGCCTATCTAATAGTTTAACCTCTGAATTGTCTGGAGTCCAATTTTCTAATGCCCAGACGGACACATGCAAATGGATCTTCCAGTTAGCGTGCTATACATGCTATCTCCTTAGTAGTTGGCTTGGACATGCTAGTCTCTTCAGTAGCCAAGAATTTATGGCTGACTTTGATACCTGGCTCCCAAGATTCTTATTTTACTTGCCAGATAGGCCGCCTTGATACCCACTAGTGTCTATATGCACATATACACCCACACAGTTCATATGCATTCCAATTTCTCTCCAGGTGTTGCTACCCAGATACAAGGGGCCCTGTGACCCATAGTCCCATCTAGTAGTCTAGTTGCTAGATCTCCACATATAAATGTGTATGCAGACTAGACAGTATCTATCCATATCTCTAGTTCCAGAATACTCTTCCCATGGCAGATTACATACCAGGTTACATACAGACCAGTGGACAGTGTCTTTCCTTACATTGTGAGGTGCCACAGAAAGCTAAATTCTGGTGCAGGGTGTCCCCTGGCCCCTGGTGCTGAGGGGCCCTAGGGCAGCTCTGGCAGTTCAGAGAGGGGACTCACATTAGTGTGAGTAGACACAAGTCTGTAATCACATAATCTAATGCTGCACGTGTCACTGTATGGACATAAATGCAGACAAAATAACCCTTATCTCCATACAGAAGACAAAGAGAAGAAAATACGTATCCAGAAGTCATACTCTCCAGATCAATATTTCCACTAACTGTCCTCCAGGTTATATGGCTAAATTTTTTATTCCATTCTGGATCCTTTTCAAAAAATAAGACAAATTAACTCTTCTTGATTGGAGGAAAGACATCACAAGTGCCAATTTCTCAAAATTTCCACAGATCATAATCAGAATTAGGTAAATAATTAATAATTAATAGCACCAGAGAACATTTTCAGTGTAGTTTATTTTTAAAAAATTCCATCTGCAGTCATGACTGTTGAAGTGACATATGGTCAGGATATCAAACATTTGATTTTCTACGTGAATATCAAATCTCGAAGTGTTTGTAGTTCTAAGACCTTATGTGTCACAAAGATTAACATAAGTATGAAAAGCAGGAGAGACCTGTAAATAGTAACTTTTTTTACTTCCTATTCCATGTAAATGTAACATCATTATTCTACAGGCATGCAAAAATTGAGACAGTGCAAATATTGTCTACGTACAATCACCTTTTCTACAGTTAATTTAACTTTTGTATTTCATATTCCTTGTACTAAATATTTTGAAAGTAATTTTCTTTTTCTGTATTTCCCATATATTTCGCATCCGTGGGAGTTGCAACTGATTCTCTAAATTACCTATTAGTGGAAGTTAATGATACAAAGTTACCATAAGAAATTTGTACACTTCAACATTAAAACACACTTATGTGGGAGTCCTCCCACTCGATTTATGTGCAGACTGCTATATATCACAAAAAAAAGAAGACAGGATTGCTCTCTTTCTTTCCCGGTGTCGCAATTCTCTTCATCTTGACTCGTTCCATCCATTTGGGTTTGTACAAAACCTTACTTTGCTTGTTTCATGCCCACAAGTTTTTTTATGCCTTGTAGATCAAAAGAGTTCTTATTCCCTGGCTTGTGGGTATATATTCTTCGCAACACTGGTAAACAATTAATTGAGTAAGAAGGCTTTAGCATTAATTTTAACTGAAATAAAAATGACAGAATTCTGTCTTCAACCATCTACAGGCTACACACTTTTCCAAGCTGAAGAACATGTATTCTCAATATAACTGATGAGAACTAGCCAATCCAGCAGGAGATTCACTTTATTTTAAGATAGATGTCTAGGAAAGGATAGATGGTCAATAAAAATAGTAGCTTATCATATTCCACTAACTATAAAAATATTCTACAGTTAGACATTAGGAAATCATTTTTGTAATTTATTGACACATATATACCATAGCATACTTTTTAAGTTAAGGTATTTGATACCTTTATGGGATTATTTTTGGAGCTTACAAAAGAGATATTTTAGACACTGAACTACACTTTCAATATGTAAGTAAGGCATGTACTGCCAACACTTTAACTAAAAGCATGATATATGTATTTCCTGGAGAATTTTTTTTGTTGTTGTTGCTGCAGATAAATTGATGTTCCAAATGAAATGCTTAACAAACACCATTCTTTTCTGCCATAAGGAAGTGCATTATAAGAAATTTCAAGAACTGATGAAAATACAGGACCTACTAACAGAACTGACATTCAACATATTCGTAAGTTATCTAGAAAAAGGCAAAATTAATGAGGTGATAGACTTTGACATGTATGCAAGGTAATACAGGATAGTGAAAAAAAAACCAGATTGTGAAAAGCTGCAGGAGCATCTCATGATGGGCAGTAAGCTGGTAAATAAAATTCAATATTAATAGCTGCAAAGTAATTCAAAAGTGAAAAAGCAACCCTAAAAAATCAGTATAAAATGGTACCCTCGAAATTATCTATTAATTTCCCAGAAAAAGATCTTAGAATTACTAAGGAGATTTAACTGAAAATCCTAATGGTAAGAAGAACAGTCAATTAGTCAAATAAATTAACATGCAATGAGAGGAATTTAAAAAATGGTAACAATTTTAAATAAATTAAATGGAATACCATGTATAACTAAATAATATAAAACATTGTTGCAGGATGTAATGGTTACCAGAAGCAGTCTTGCATTCAAAAAGTTGCTAGGAAATTTTAGAAGTGTATTGACAGGTGTTAAACATTATAATTCATGAGTCCAAAAAAAAAATCTCTGAACTCCAAATTCTTTAAACTGAAAGAGAAAATATAAAAAAACCCAAAGCACGCTACTGCTCTTGTGATGTGCATATAATCTTCCTTTAGTGTTACTAGTTACCATCAGATTCAAATATATCAGAGTAAACAGACTTTTTATACTGCATGATATTTTAAATTTTATATCTTATATTTTTATCACACACTGTCTCTTGACTTCTAGCATACTGGAAAAGTCATTATGACTAAATATAACTAACATGGACATTAATAAATATCTTATTAATTGAGATGTAATAATGTAGATTTATTGCTTTTTAGCCTTTGGATCTCCTTTGCAACAGATTATCAAAGTGATTTTGAATTACATGGAGTGTGGACAGAATTAGCCCTTCATTCTATTAAAGTAAGACATTTAAGCAGTTAGCTTTTATGAGATAAACACTATGATAGTCATTCCTGGTGGTAGGTCACAGGAACAGAGTAGTCATTTCAGTGAGGCATTAAAACAATCTTGCTTTATGGTGAACTTGCCACCGGCTGCCGCAAGAGAGGAGCCCCGAAGAGAAGATTCAAGGACTCCCTGAAACAACATCTCAGCCTTGGCCATATTGATCATCATAACTGGTCTACTCTGGCCTCCAATAGGAAAGCCTGGAGACACACCATCTACAACGCTGTAGATGTCTTTGAGAAAACACGCAGGGTCACTCTCGAGGAGAAAAGACAACTCAGAAAGAATCGTGCCTTGCAGAATATACCACCTAAGGAGTCTTTCTGCTGTGCCTTTTGCAATCAGACGTGTCTATCTTGTATTGGCCTTTTTAGCCACCAACGCGCCAAATGTGGGTAGAGACCTTCCCAAATCTTCATTTGCGAAGCCTGGCCATGATGATGATGATGAAAACAATATGGGTTTTTTGAGCTGTGCTTGTTTGGTACAGAGTCTTTTGAAGATCCTGACAATAGCAATGAAGAAACAATCGCAAAGAGTCAGGTTCTTAATATTTTTTAATCAAAATAGGGAAGAAAATGTGCATTCTACACAGAAACTGATGAAAACTTGAAGCATTTGTAAAGAAATTTTAGGAAGACCAGGCTTTGTGTGTGCAGAATGGAAACTTTAACACATTTTGGTGACATTTGGAAATGCTACAAAATATTATTCTAGGAGAATAGATATGAATATGTACCTAAACTGAAAAACTGTGTTGCATTCTCCAGAGATTTAGTCAAGAACAATAAGGTAGTGTAGAGATCTCTTGAGAAAATACTACAAATCAGCTTTAATCAGTTCAGAAGCAGTTGACATGTTTTTAGGTGAGATTTGAGTTTTGATCAATTACATTCTTCTACAGTATTTGTTTCTGTCACAGTCAGATGCCCAGGTCTTGGGATAGATCTGATATTTCTAATCAAGGACAGATAAGGGTTAAAGGTTAGTTGCTTTGACCATTACCTGTTTTAAAAACAAGTGCAGACAATATATATGTGATTAAATTGTTAATCAACTCAGAATCAGGTAACTTACCTTGCTGTTCACTGCAATCCATTTTCTTCATCTAGAGAAAACATACGTGAAGAAGAAATTTAATAAATTACTTGTTAATTACCATTAGAGAACAACTCTAAAACAGATTTGTTTTATTCTTTCACGTGTATGCTAGTTCCGGTTGTTTAATATGAGCCACACTAATTAAGAAAATTGAATTACTTAGCAAATATTGATGAACAATAAATATTAAATATGTGTTTGGAAATTACTAAGAAATGGTGTTTCATTTAACAAATGTTCAGCTGTAAATATGTATTTATCATTAAATTCTAACTTGCTAATACTCGTGCTACTGAGAGTTAACAACAAATAATATGAATTGAGATGACCATAGCAAAATATAATTTTTCCATCTTCCAAGTAGTCTTCTATAATGGTAAGCATGGTGCATCATTTTATCTTTATTTCTCCATACGAAATATGATGTTTTTTCATAACAACTGGTCAACAGATATTTTATTTTTTTTTTTAGTGCTAGCACAGAAAAATAAATAAAAGTGAAAATTTCATGTAAAATGTACCTTAAAGTAATTGTTGATTCAAATAATAAATTGCCAAGAAGCTGAAAAAATAATTTGGATTTCAATTTCAACGTGATATAAAAGTATACAATTTAAAATCAGCAAACAGATGAGCTCTATCACACTGTACAGTGTTTAGTTTTTAAAAACATCTAACAGTATGTTTCTGGTAAATATTTCTCTTCCAAATATTTGTCTCTTTCTGATATTCCTTGGAGTTTGTCTGATCAACTTTGTTACAGTATTACTATGTTGCAATTGTTCAGTTTTGGAGGACAGTTTCAAGGACTTATTCTCTCAGAAGTAGATAGAAGAATAACTTGGAACTAACGTCACTTAAATGAGTGGGAAGCCCAAAGGAAGCAGTGGCTGAAGTGTATTTATATTGTCTACCTCTCCCAAAGTGCATTCTTTCTAGGACAAAAGACCAGGTTCCATTAATGGTAAATATGTCTTTCACAGAAGTTAAGCTGCACATATAGGAATTTCAAGAATCTCTGAATTTCACGGCAGCGTCTACATCTTAGGGTATATCTGCCTAACAATCTAAAACCTGTTGAGTGATCCATGGAAATTCCCTGGTATAAGGTTCCCAGGAACCTTCTTCAAAGGCAACAGGCGCAAAGGTGGGTATGTTCAATTCAGGTGTCAACATGGACTGGAGTTTATGCACAGGGACAGAATTTGTACGTAAGCATTCAGAAAACCAAATGCACCAGAGAGTATAAACACCCACAAGTATCAATTTTTGCTAGTATGTACTTGTAGTATTACAAAGCTTAATAAAAAAAATGAATACTTTTTTAGAGGAGTGAAGTTTGAGTTCATATCACTGGTCTTTTTAAAAATAATATTTCTAAAGGTGTGGATTACTTTTCTCAACATTGGAGGAATATTATTTATAGGAAACAATGTGTGCATGCATTTTTAATGTGATGTACTACCTAAATGTAATGTGATGTGATATACTACCTATATGCAATGCACAAGATTAGTACCAAATTTTCATTGATTCAGGAGCTTTACAAGCTCTGTAGGTAATTGATCCCTCCAACCAAAATAATGGTCTTCAAAACTGGCTTTGTTTCATATTGAAAACAAGAGTCAGTGATGTGATGAACACAACTGAAGAATATTATCTTCTAGTTACCACAATCCTGGTGGACATCTTGAATAAATAGTTTCTAATTTCCTAGATGTGAAATCTTAGTTTTATCGAATTTAATGAAATAACTTAGGTTAAGTTTAGTGGGGTAATACGGAAAAGGGCTGAGCATTCATGTCAGATGTTAAACTAAGCACAAATTATTGCACAGAAAATAGAACTGTGTGCTTAAAAATGAACTTTGGACATCACTAGTTCTGTAAATAGAATTTCATTTTTCTTAATCTCTCAGAAACATACAGCTAATCTGTATGCCATGTATTTCTGTACTTTTTATTTACATTATTACCTTAGAGTCTTTGAAAAATACTGCTAGCCAATCACTTTAACTGCATAGGGGTTTTACACTATAGTTAAATTTGAAGAAAAGTCCAACAAATTAATATTCATTTCCAAAAGCTCACACAATTATTGTCTGTTTCTAAAGACGAAAATCTTATCTACTGAGTCATGTTCTTCTCCTTCCCAAAAAATAGTCTTTTAATAATGTATTTAGTGTAATCAATAGTGACAGAGACAATGTGCAAATAATTACTTAGAAGGAGAGTGCTATAATTTGAAGGCAGCATGTGTTTGTAAATTGTTCCATACCTCCTACCTCTATGCACCATCCAAACATTCCTCATCTCAGCAAGGTAACAACATGAAATATGTAATTTTATAGGAGTTGAGATGGGTTTTTCAGGTTCTTTCTTCTAAAATTACTTAATTGCAAGCATTTTCTCTGCCAGCTCAGACACTCCTCTATGTTTCTTTTCTACTTCAACTCAGTCTTTGAAATCTGTTTAAAATCCTTTGATTTTAGACCCTTTGGTTTTTGGCAATAATATTTCATTTTATGCATGCTATAGCTTATTTTAATGCACAGTCATTTGTTGAAGCCCAGGAAATATTTGTAACTTCTCTTTATAATCAACAGTTGTACTAATGGACATATTTTTCAAAATAGAAATTTAGGGCACAACAATTCTTGAATCAATGTTTCTTACTCAAAGTTCTGTTGTCATGTCCAAAACATGTAAGTGTCCTTGTCTGTATTTATAAAATGTGTATAATAATCAGAAGGAGCTTTCAGGCATAGACAATCCAGTCGGCTGCCAAGACAGATTCCTATCATTACTGCTGATATCAATTACAATTTGCATGTTCAATCACTCAGGTCCTAATTCAACAGGTTTCTTCAGCAGGAGTCTAATTTTAAATACATCAGTAGCCTTCAGAGGGGTAACTCAACTATTTATACATAGTTACCTGCTGAAGTGCCTTAGTGTGGCTGCTCTAGAAGGAGATGAATATTTGGAACCTGAGAAATGAGAGAACAATAATAAAAGAAAATATTTTAGTTGTACAGATATTGCCATTCTGTTGCTAAAACACTGTTCCCAAGGGCCACAAAAGGGGATATATCACTGCTTAGTCTGCAACATTACCCTGGGCATCCTTTACCTGCTGATTTCAGCTATTCCTGAAGTTGGAATCCTGCAGGTTAGAATATTTATTTGTGCTTTATATCTTTCACAGCAACAGTTTAAGTACTTCTTCACTCCTATCATCTAATAGTAGAAAATTTTTCCAATTACTGAAATTGCTATTCAGCCCCAATGTAAGGAATAAGACTATATGAAAACAAAGGGAAAAAGGCATTCTGTTTCAATACACACATCACCTACAGTTTACCTGATTATTATTATTATTATTATTATTATTATTATTATTATTATTATTATGTGGAATGGCTGTATACACATAAATAAAACACTGTGATTAGACAAAATAGAAGGCAAACAAGAAGACAGAAATAATAATGCTTAAAGACAAAGAGAATTATCAGAGAAGATAATCTCTTTCTTTGAGAGTCCCACTTCTGGGCAAGAGAGTAATGCAAAAATCACTACAGGTTTCTTCAGAAGGAAAAGATTTTGCTCAGGCTGATAACAAGAGATGGATATGAATCTCAAGCAGACAAACACAGAAAGCATATTACAGAAGTATAATCTGTTTATCTTCTTTTTTTTTCTCCAGGAACTATCAATAACTGGGATGACTGGAAGTTACTAAAATTTGAACAGTTAAAGCCTAGATATGAATAGAATACATATAGATCTTGTTTGTTTTTCTTTGCCCTACACGATGTACTTTTTGGGGGATATTGTTTGGGGTTTTTTTTACATTTGAAATTGAACTCTGTTTACTGTTTTGTGATTCAAACAGAATGTAATCCATGAAAGGTACTAAATATGTTAATAATCTATATGGGGAGGAAAAAAAAAAGGAAGAAAGGAAGAAAGGAAAAGAAAGAAAGGAAGAAAGGAAAATAAAGAAAGAAAGAAAGAGAGAGAGAAAGAAAGAAAGAAAGAAAGAAAGAAAGAAAGAAAGAAAGAAAGAATAGAAACACCTAGGAAATAATTTTCCATTGTTGAACCACATGATTGCAAAAGGCGAAGGAACTTGTACACTTAATCTGGAAGGTGTTTAAATATGATGAACAAGGAACTAGAACATGATTTTCTTAACAAATATGCAGGTTAAAAGTAAAGCCTGCCTCTTCTTCAGGACAGAGTAAGCAACCATATCTTTCAAAAGCATTATTCCAAATACGTTCAAGGTCAGATGATGGAATGCAGTGGTCCCAGATCCTTTTAAAAGCTGTCAAATGAGGATTCCTTTTCTTTCACTTGCTTTGCAACAGTAAGGATTTTAAAGTTATTTCCATCTGAACTAATTATACACAGAGTGTATGTTCTGTTCTTTCTCTGCTGATTTTCTACCTGGATTATTTAATGCGTCTACACTCGTGAGTAGTGCGTGTCAATGGATGATACACTTCAGACTGAAACAGTAAATACTGAAGATCCAGTGTCCACACTATAGAAGGTTTTACTCTGGATAGGAACCCTGGATTGAAGCCATTTTAGCTGTTAGAGAACACTAGCAGTATTTATTTTCTATGTTTAGCCTCATTTTCATCCAGAATGTAAACAGCTGACACTTTGAAACCAGCCTGTGATATGAATCTAAGTGTATGTGTGATAAGTGACAATAATTAGGAAATTCACTTCAAAATTATAGTCTTGATCTAAACCAAAATATCAATGTAATGTCTTTATTTACTGTTTTCAGGAATGCAGGCTTTCAGTTTAACTTGCTGAAATACATTTAGTAAAGGGAAAAAGCAAAATTAATACAACAAAAAACTACTAATACCACTACACTTAAATGAAAATTGTATTCCCTAAATCATTAGATAAATTCACTAATGAGATCATTTAAATTGAAACTGTTTGTAGAAGTTATTAGAAAAAATTAAGTACTTATTTTCTGAACATGTTTGGATATTTGCGAGCAGCGAGAAAAAACAAAAATTAAAACTAGTGATTGATGTACTGACATTTAGCAAAATCTTTGATAAGAAAAGTGTTTTCTAGAAATCTGAACTGCAGATTTATTATTTGTTTTAGGAAATTACTACCTTGATGAACAATTTCATCAACTGGAAAATTAACACCCCCAAATTGTCATAGAAAAAAAATTACTTTAGTTAATTTTTTTTTACTTAAACACCACCCCCCCAACATAGAGCTGTATTCTCCCCCTCTCTTTAATGAAATGCCTTGGTTATATTATCATTGAATTAGTATTAGTATTTTTGATATTTTAGATTTTAATTTTTATATATTCTTCAAACCCAAAACTTAACCCCTCCATTTGGTTTGAAAAGGTGGCAACCAATGTTTTTGGCTTACTGTTTATCCAAAGTAACCTTATTTCAAGAGGCAAAAGGATTTGTGTTACTTTGTTTAAATCTTTTAAAACTTGAAAAACACAAGTATGATTAGCAAAAAATGTCATAAGACTTGACCTAACATGATCAGTACAATTGCAAAATTCTTAAAGTTTCTTTCTCAAAAGATGTCATAGCTAATTGGCAGTTAACTCATGTAAAAGTTGCTATTGGCATCAATTTTGCAAAAAACAAAGGCACTACATTTTTATCAAGAACCAGGAGCTTAGTTTTAACTACTAAAGCACAATTAAACTAAAAGGATTATTTGGTTGAATATTATTATCAAATGAAAGGTACTGATATCTAAGTGTAGCTACATATTAAGACTTTTTTTGGGTATCTAGTATTGGTCTGTCAATGCTGTAAGTAGTAATTTGTATGTTACTGCTCTGACTACAGTGTTAATGGCATATCCCAGATTTAGGGATCATTTATCTCAGATGTCTAAAAAGCCTAAAAAGTAGTTTTTTCATAAGAAGTCTCTCTGTATTGTAAGATCCTAAAAGAAATTATAATCTTCCTGTAAACTGACAGAAGTTCAAAAGAAAATTACATTTTTTGCTAGACTTAAATTGTTGTATGCTGCATGCTTTAATTTATTTCCTCCCAAAGAAATCAGAGATAATATTCACGAAATGAGATCCTGTCTTGGAACAAGCCTTTCTCCTAACACTCAAACAACTCCTGATCCAACTAACATCATTTTCAGAATCTGTATATATGAAGACAGAAAATGCAACACAGTGCATTGAGTAATTTTGTTGAAGATTAAAGTCTATAACCATTAAATATGCAGATGAACTGAAAAAAAAAAAGTAATAAGGGATATTGATGCCTAGTTACCAATGGGAGATTGACTTCCACAAAAAATCTAAGGTTTCACTTCTCAGTACTGATCTTGAATGAAGTTCAATAGAACATCTCCTAACAGTCCTGATAATTGAAATTCATAGCTCAATTGGATTTTAGAGGAGAAAAAAATAAGTAATTAAAAATGCTTGTTTCACAGTTTTAGACTTTCCTCCTTATTCATTTCTTCCACAGGACAGCTGATCTCTCTTTCTTGTCATACAGAAACTAATAGCATTATTATTTTTTCCATTCTAAAATGGTCCCTGGTCTGTAGCTGCTACCTAACTTTTTACTCAAATTGTCTAACTGATGAGCACAATCAATCTAACCACAGAAAAATTGTTCTTGAGACACTGTTAGATTGTGAAATTGCTGTTTCTATTTAAGACCTAAACAAAGGCTGTTTCTGAAAACTTTTTTCCAATTCTATCAATTTGTCAGCTACTATCTCTTCCTACAAAATTTGTCTCAGAGCATAATGACAGTGAGGTATTTTAGCTTAAGAGGTGACTCCCATAGTAAACAACAGACAGGAATGAGTAAACAGATGGTGCAATCAGCATCAAAGAAAGAACTTGAAGCAGCTCTACTTAACCAGCTTCAAGATCCTTGGCATAAGCGTCTCAAGATGTTTTAGCTGTGCAGTAGGGAACATACAGTAATCATGTCACTCATGGAGTGTGCTTGGCTCCACTACTGCAGACATCCAGAATACCCAAAGCATTTTGCAGTATTTGCAAATAGAATGTCCCTTGGCAAAATAATTTTGCTTTTGTATTTTCATTTTAGCGACAATATGAGGACATAATAGAAGACTTCATCTTACCTTACTTATGATAGTGGCTAACAGACATGGGTAGTTAAAGGTAGTATCTTCCTTTTAACACTGAAGGGCCACATTTCCTCACAGGATCAGACAATGTCATAGCAGTCCCTCCTATGGTTCTTCTATTAGAAAACAGAAGGCATTGTTTTTTTCTATCATTTTCTTTTAATTTATTTGAGAAATTTTCCCACCTTGATAATATTTTTAGATTCCATACCTCTGAAAAGCAAAAGATATTAGTGACTTAATTATTTAGTCACAGAGACCTCTGACCAATAAACAGTAATCTCATAATTATGAATGTTAAATAACTGTGAAAGTTTATCCACATATCTGCACAAAGTATTTCAACTTCTTTCTGATAGCTCATATCTGTGAATGAGAAATGAAGATAAAAGAAAAAAAATTAAATGTACTTGCATAAAACCCAAATATTTTAAACCAGTAAACAGTTAAAGAGATTTGTCCTTATTGTGATCCAAGAATCCTGACCCTGATGTTGATTTGATGATACATATCACATAAACTATTACTGCCACTGTTCTGCCACATTCCTTTTGAATCTCATTATAGTAACTGTTTTTGCCAACTAACTTTATAAATTGTCAATGTTTAGCCTTTATGCATAGTCCAAATTTATAAGGATTAAATAGAATTCAAAAGAAGTAGTGGGGACATTACTTCAACACACAGCTTTGTTTTCACTGAATATTTAATAGCACACCATGCTTTCACCAGGCAGTACCTTTCTTTCTATTCATTCACCAGTTTCTGACTGGCAGGGAAGCTCTATCTCATCAATGAGATTTCTGTGATAGCTAGGCATAGTGGATCTATAGATTGTTTATTTTAAAATTTGCTTTAGCTTAACTGAAATTTGTAAGATTTTATTTTACATTTATTTTAAGTGTAGTATCTACAGTAAACATATATAAAATGTATTAGATCATAGATACTTTAAGATCACACAAGATGTACATGGCCTTACTTGCAATCGCCCATGGGAAAAAAAAAAACAACCCAGTGAGCAGTGAGTCAATAGTCTTCACATGCATTCCAGCATGATATTTTATAAAAGTGTAACATAAAACATTAAAGCATACTATATCCTAAATGACACTAATGATGCATTCACACCTGAAGAACAGAAAGCAATCCAGAGGGATCTGGAAAATCTTGAGAAATGGGCCCACAGGGATCCCATGAGGTTTAACAAGACCAAGTATAAGAAACAAGGAAGTGGAAGAGATGGCCTGAGCAGACTTGGTAGCCTTGTATGATGGGAAAAATAGGAAAATGGAACTGCTAAAGGTAACAGAGTTCAAAAATGAGTAAGTAAATCTGATTCTGGAAAAGTTAAACGTTCACAAGTCACTAAGTAACAGAACAAAGAATAGCTGAAAATTTAGTTCACACCAAACATAAGAAAAGTCTTATGATACTGTGTTTTTGTTTTGTCAACTAAAACTTTTTGTCATGTACACATTAAGTAATACTGATCTGTACAAAAATTTTATATTTTGATATAACTTTGGGCTATCTAATATGACAAAATGAAACCACTGAGAAGTTTTTGGAAAAACTGACATACTTTCACTAAGTCACTGGAAAGGTCTCAGAATTTTAGTGGCCTTATGAAACTGAAGTCTGAAAGACTGAAAGATATAAAGTAAAGAAAAATTATCTTCTTTCCCTTAGTGTTAAATAAAACTGATAAAACTATATCAAGATTGAATATCAACAGTAGATTTTGCGATAGTAATTCAGAGACCTTTTGAGAGAACATTATTTTATATTACTGAAAGACAAAATTTTGTCAGATTAAATAGTGGTGTAATTGCATGAAGAACTTTTTGCATCTTCCTTTGAATTACATCTCTACAAATAGTACAGTTATGGTGAAGGAATATAAAGATACACTATTGTGTATCAGTAGATTATAATTTCACTTAGATTTTGACACACAATTGATTTTGACCTAAGGTCAAACTGATAAAAAGACACCAACATGGATTCTTCTGAGATTTTTTTACATGTTACTTATATGCAACATTTACGTGTTGCTAACCATAATAATGTTATATCTAACAGTATGTTTCAGGTGAAAAAAATGAATCTTTATAATAATGTATTTAAAAATTAGTATGTAAAATATCATAGAAAATCAAGACCAATTAATTTCATTAATATCTTTAAAGAAACTCCCCAAGCAGATTCTACAGATTTGTCTCTCCCTCTTTGTCCAAATTTCATTTCATGAGTATGCAAATTTTGTTACAGATTTTCTTCTGCATGGGAAGAACCACCCAGAAATATAAGAAAGAAGTACCAGAGACTCTGTCTGCCATTTTTGTATTAAAATTGTGATTAAAAAAAGTGGTCAACTATTTTATATAAGAAGAATATATGTTCTGAAAACTGTTCTGTTTAACATCTTTGTCAATGGCCAGGAGAAGGTGACGGAGTGCTTGCTCATAAAGTTTGCAAACGACGTCAGACTGGGTCAGGTACCATCAGTATATGTAAAAGCAGGGCTGCTGCCAAAAATGACACTGACAGGATGGAGGACTGGGCCAACAGGAACATGATGATACTCAGCAAAGCCCAGACAGAGAGAGTCATGCAGAGAGACTCCATGGGATCTTGATTTGAGGTTAGGGTGGCATTTTTGAACTCTTTCAATGGTCTATCCACACACAGACATTTACTTGATTGAGTAATGTGAAACGTATGAACAAGCATCAAATTATGAATATATTAAATCTTGCCCATATTATGCCTTACCCTGAAATCATGAATTTGATTCTGCACTTATATACTGCAGCTATTTGCAGCTACTTGAATAATCACAATATCAGTTGATATGACTACTCAGTCATTGCGAGTTCCTCACTTGGTTGAAATGAGTTAATAAGGATTTAGAAGTTAGGAGGCAGAGGTTTTCAAACAGTGCAAGTTCCATAGCCATAAAGGATGCATTTGCTTCTTCAGGTTCTCAAATCTTACAGAAGATTTAGATAAAGATTTTAGATAAAACTAGGCTCTTTTTCTTTTTTTGCCCCAACTCTATTTTAACAACCGTATTTAATTTTTGTCACTTTTCCTGAATAAAAATATTTCTTCAGCTGTAAAGATATCCAGCTCTAAGGTTTGGATACACTAAGTTGAAATAATATATTGATAGCAGGCAAATGCTTAATCTGGTTGAATACAGATATCTTGAGGAGCTGAGACAATTTCTCCAGTTAATTTTTTTTAATTAAAAATATAGATTTGGTGATTTCTACAAAAAACCCCTTTTTTCATAATTTGTGAGGGTTTTGTTGCTTTGTTGTTTGGGTTATTTTAAGTTTAGGATTATCTTTCATTCAAATCCTCCTTTCATTACATAATATGGAAAGAGTTTAATATAATTTTTAGTATTGAAAAACAGTGTTTTTATTTATCCTTGAGACTGAACATCTTAAAATTTGTGTTATGGTAAATGCAATTACTAAGTTTTTAAACAGAAATATGACCTATCACACAGTTTTAATATGTAACTCTTTAACAGAGAAATGCCTATTATTTTAATTTTACTAAAACTATAATTTTGGGGACAAATCAAGTGCTTGTTAATACAGCATAGGTGGGGTTATTCTCAAATAATTTTACAAGTATTTATTTTGCAAGTATCAGGTGATTTTTAAGGTTATTGCAAGTAAATCTTAACGAAAAAAATTCTGTAAATAAAACCACAAACCATCACACCATTGGCAATTCTTCACGTAAAAGCTTAAATGCTTAAATTCTGTTGGCAATCTGAATTCTCAAAATCTTTATTCGTATTTCAAAGCATTTTCAGGGTCAAGGCTTAATAAAAGGTAGCTAATAAATTTTGTACATGTAGAGAAGATAAAAGGCAAAATAGTCAAGAATGGAAAACCAGCTATTTAAAAATATAAATTCAAATCCTGGAGCAGGGTTTTGTTTGTTGGTTCTCTGCTCTTTATAGTGGCTTTTGTTCTGTTTTCTCTTATTATTAAATTTTCATTGCATTGCTTTTTTTTTATTGTGTGGTTTCCTATTTAGAAGCAAAATGTGTAAACATTATTCATATGAACAGACTTATTGAGAGCAAGACAGGGATTAGTGATGCATATAATTACTCATGTACAATTGTAGTGTGATGGCATTCAATTAGAAAAATCACAGGAGTGAGCAATACTCTTACAAGTTTTATAAAATAGCTGGCAGCTTTTTGTACAAGCAACATAGTAAATTAATTAAATTAATATTACATAATTTTTCAAATAGTATGTAGCACATTAAAAAAACAGCATCTCTGAATTTTAGATTGTTGTTTACAGTGTCTTCTAATGCCATTAAATTGTTTGCCTTTCAGAATTAATTTTTTGTACTTTTTTTCCTTTGAGATGTTTTGGAATATGGAAGAAAAGAGAATGGTATCTTTGACTCAGAAAAAACCACACAAAATTCTTTCATTTTAAAAAACAAAAAAGAGAAATAAGCATACTGTTTCCTCATCTTGCTTTATAACTTAGGATGGGCGAGTTTTTTAAAAATTCCTAAATCCTAGATTCATAGAATCATTTACATTGGAAAAGATCTCTAAGATCATTGAGTCCAACCACTAATCCAGCACTACCAAGTCCAACACCTAATCATATCCTTAAGTGTCACAGATACATCTTTCAAATAACTCCAGGGAGGATGACTCAACCACTTCGCTGGGCAGCCTGTCCCAGTGTTTGACAACCCTTTCAGTGAAGAAATGCTTCCTAATATCCAATCTAAACCCTGGTATAACTTGAGGCCATTTCCTTTTGCCCTGCTTCCTTTTGTCCTGCCTCTCTACAGCCTTCTTTCAGGTTAGCTGTAGAGAGTGATAAGGTCTTCTCTGAACCTCCTTTTCTCCAGGCTAAACAACCCCAGCTCCCTCAAATACCCCTCATAAGATTTGTGCTCCAGATCTTTCACCGGCTTTGTTGCTTTTCTTTGGACAAGGTCCATCATCTCAATGAAACATATAAAGAATACTTATAAATAATTTGAATGTTAAAATCAGTACCTGAATAGATCTTTTTGGGGTTTCACTAGAAAGAAACTTACCACTACCCCTTATCCAGTGACCTGCTCACCCTCTCATTGCCTGCTGAATCTGAAGTTAAATCAATGGTCAGTACAAATCCTTCATCCGGAAGGTGTGGATTTCTTGATAGCACCACGGTCTTCCTTGCCTTTGATGCCTCCTCAGAGTACTTTTTACGAATTTGATGCAACCAAAGATTGAGAGGATCTGAGTATTCACAAAGGTAGCAAATTCTAACTGTCTGACTAGCTGTTTAAAATGTTGATGGAGCTTGCAAAAGATAAACTAAATTTACCTAGTAAGGCTGCAGGAACCATGTTAGCTGCTTTCAGTCACTCTGCTCTTTCAATCGTATGAAAGAGTGTCAGTTGTCATCATGCTTCGCTCAAATTAGCAAACCTGTTTCTCAGCTTAATTCATGAATTAGCTTAAGCTTAAAAGAACTATACTACTTCCAGTCCCAAAGCTAGTTCAATTGTAGTCAAAGCAAGTTGATATCTCTGTACAGTACTGACATCCTTTAAAAATTTCAGAGCCAAAATCCATTGAAAATCGCTGGGACATTGATCGAAAATCGTGCTACCCTTTCAAAAAATCAAACATTACTTTCTGTTTTCCTTTTGTTCACGATGACTGTAAGAAGCTTCTCATCTATCAGAATATTGTGGAGAGCAAAAAGGTTTCCTTTACGAGCCTCTTAGGCCAAAAGAAAAAAAAAGATTATTCCCTGATATGCATTACAGCACTGAAATGGAAAATATTTGCAGTCCATTTTATTACTTAGACAAGAGTTGTTCTCTGATGCAATCAGTAACACTGAGCACTCCCTCCACAGGCAGTGAACCTGAGCTAGGAATTAACTGGGTTTTAAGTTTTTATTCAGTGTAATTTATTTTTCTTCCAATGCCTTCTTTTTTCCAAAAAATAGATTTACAATAATTTCCAGAGATGAGAATTTTCAATTTAATGCACATATTGAAAGATTATTGCACAGTGAATTGTAATTCTGCTTTCAGATTATAAACATGATAATTCATTTATCTGGTTGGGTTTTCTGGATGAAAATCTCACTCTAGGATGTTTCTTTTTGTTACAAAATATATGCTTGTTTATTTAAATGCTACTATGAAAAATTGCAGTTTAAAACTCATTTTAACACACTATTATCTTAGATTTACAACCATTTTTTCTTAAAAGAAATTTAGTCAATATTTATCTGACATTTTTAATGAAATAAATTTTACCCACACAGAAGGGTATTTAGATGAGTAATAACAACAAATAAACTGAAAATGCAAGTCTTTTTTTTAATTTGCCCATGCAGTTCATCACTAAAGAAAAAGTCATTATTTTATGTATGCATCAAATCTCTTTGAAAATTGATATTCATACTACTTTGGATAAACCAGAAATATGTTCAATAGACAGTTGAGAGTACTTAAAATTATGAATGCCACTAGCTTGTATCAGAGTTGTGGAACTCATCATTTGTTGAAAGTTCCACATTCTGAGCACTAAGACTGTGGAATACAGTGTCAAAGAGTAATACCATCTGCTTTTTATTGAAGAGCATTATGTCTTTTCTTCTTTTTCCTTTATATCCTGTCTACAATAAATTTTAGTAAAGAAATCATATATGATACATGCCAAAATTCAAAGTTTATGTTGAAGTACGATCAGTTTAAGGTGCCTTGAGGCCAAAACCACTCATTATGATGATAGTGGAAAAAATTATTTTCTCGAAATCTGCAGTTAAGGCTAAGAATGGATTATCAGTATTTTCTTTTCCAGTAGCTGTCTAAGTTTTACTTGGCTCCCCGCCAAATCCCCAGACTCAATGAAAAAGAACTCTGGCAAAGAGCTAAGAAAAAAAAACCATGAAAGATCCAAACTAGCCCAACTTATATGAAAATAAATGTATTTACGTGTATTACAGATGAAATACTATATAAAATTTCCGAGAGGAAAAGGGAAAGGGAACAGGGAAGGAACAAAAAACCAAAATAAAATATACACGGTCAAAAGCTCAAGATCTAGCAACTAAGGAATTAGCAAAGGAATATCTTACTACTCTCCTTGGAACAACAGAAGTCGCGCTGGAACGACCGGCAACAACCTCTGCCTCCCAGGGTCGGCAAGGCCTTACCAGGCCTCACTCCCCTACACGGCAGAAGTGACAGCAGGGAACCCACACCTCTGGAGCCACCAGAAGGAAAGAGAGCGAAGGCCTCTCTTCCTTTCTTCTTATACCCCTGGTTTACCTAAAAATTGTAGGGAATACTGGGTAATCTGGCCACTTCCTTGGTTACAAACTGGTCACCAAGGAAGGCCTATACTAAAACTACCACAGTAGCATCTTAGAGTTCTGAAATCAGATCCCGCCTTTCCTCAAGGTACAATGGCCAATAAGGTATGATAATTTCCGGGTTTTTTTGGTAGTGACTAAAGAATAACTGAATGGTCATTTGTAGAATACTATAGCTAAAAAAAAAAACAAACAACCAAATTAGCTTAGGCTTGAGATACTTCTGTTTTTCTAGAAAATAAGTGACATTCTTTCTATTGTGAGAAACTGGATATAGTCTTTTTTTTAAAAGACAAAACATAGGGAAATACTTCTAGAGTTAGGCATGACTACATGTCCTGATGGACTTTTAAAAAAACATATAAACTGCATGAGATCATTTTGGATAGCATATCTATGAAAGACTACAACTCAAATATTAAAGCCGATATTTCTGATATTTTATTTAAACATTAGTCAATTAATCAACCAATGCAACTAGAGCTGTAATCACAATAGAATGCCTCAACTTTGATAACTAAGTTCAAACTACAGATCCTCACGACCACAGCTAAGTTGCCGCCTACTCCTGAAAGCTCCTGAGAAAAATAGATGTCATTTCCTTTTTACAAAACTATGTATCTTGATATGGTAGAAGGATTTCAGTCTTTACAACACTAGACTGTCCATGGTGTTGTTTATATTTAAACTTTGCCATTAAACACAGGGTATATATGATGTCCCCTTTAAATAATATCTTGCTAGTTGTAATTAAGTCAGGATATGATTAATTCAATTATATAAAAGGTAGTTCAGACCAAAGTTTAATTTTCTCTACTGTCTGAAGAGATACAAGCCCTTATCTATCATCTGTGTATGACAGCATTCTATCTCTTAACACACTGTAGACAGTAGTTAAATATAATTTCTAAAAACTCTATGTCTTTGCAAATGCTGTAGTGAGGGGAAAGGGAATTTTTTCAGACAGTGTTCTGAGGTGACAGCAAGATGTATTCTGGAAACTGGCTCTGTGTTGTGGGCCTCTCAAAATTTCTGAGTAAAATGTAATTAAGTAATTACTTAAAACCATTAATTCTAATTAGTTAATTAAAAGTAATTAAAACACACCTCCAGGTGTCATATTTGCTAGTGGACAGGTTTTTTTCATCACACAGTGGTTGTTTTTCTTTCAATTTCATACTAATTTCTAGACGGGGGTACCCTAGCAGACATAACACTAAAAATGTATTTAACATGGGGAAATAAATTTTTTCTCTGATGACAATTGCTGAAATGTTGTAATGCTCAGAATATTGATACCAACCTCCTCTGTTTTTATTATTTAAAAGTATACCAGGAAATCAGCAAAAAATGATATTCTGCTGCACTGAATGCTGTATAAGATGTCAATTAACTATGAAAAGGATATAATTTTAATATCTATGAGTAGTAGTAGATTCTTGCATACACAATTGTTTTTAAGTTTGCAGTCCTTACTATTTAGGTTGTGAAATTTTCTTTTCTTTCACCTTTAGTCGATATCACCAACAAGCATGGTCAAATCTGGTACTGTTTAAAGTGACAGTTTGATCTCCAGTTTGGTCTTTGAGTTATACTTTCTGTAATAAAACAAAGAATTTAATTCAATAGGGAGCATTGAACATTTTAAATATCATGTAAACAGTCTTTTCAGGTAGTTTTGAATAGTATCCAAAGGAACCACAAATGAAGTTCTCTACATTTAAATAATTCAGCATAGAGTTGAAAGTGCCACTAACAGACGGAAACTTAAAGAACACTGTCTTCCCTCTCTAAAATGAGTCATTGACTAACTGAAATACAGAAAAAAAAAAAGCACAGGGTTCTTTATTTGTTTTAGGATTTTTTTAGATCTGTTATACATATTAATTATAAATTAGAGACACAGATCTGAACTGAAGTGTATAAATGTTTAAAAAGTTACAAATAATTGAAAAGGCAGGAAGCCCTTTAGGACTTCATCTTTCTTTTAAAGGATTCTATTTCTCATTTAATTTTGGAAAGCTGAATTCTTGGACTCATGGGAATGTTCTTTAAAATGCAGGCATGCGACTCCTGTTCAGAGCTGACTGACAAGATCTAATCTAATCTTCATGGGTTGTTATTTTAATTATCGGTTTATACTTGATTTAGGGAATTTATCTAAAGTAATGTTGAAAAATAAAATCTCAACTATCAAGCATTTGCTGTCTTTATTATTAATAAATTAATATTTCCTAGCCACTCAAGTATAGATCAAACAGATCATTGAATCTAATGCTTTTATGTTACGATTTCCTCCCTAAAGCTATTTATAAATTCTCTTTCTCTCCTTACTTGTTCATCTAACCACAAACAGATGCACATACTGGAACATATACAGGTGTTCATATGAGAAATCAAGTAGAGAAAGTAGAAATTACTTTCATGGAAAAAGTGTCTGTTTGCCAGTTCAATCTACTTCAAAGGTCCTGATCTTACAACAATTTTATGCCAATTTCAGCAATTTCTGCACAATAGTGAATTGAAATTTTTCACATTGTGTATAAACAAGGTTGTCTATTTTGGCAGAGTCACACAAAGTTAATTTAAAATAAAATAGAGATTAAAAATATTATATGCTATAATTATAAGGGTAATTTATCTGTTCTAAACAGAAGTATTAAATAAACTTAAATTAGGTATACATAATTAAACCACATTTCTTGGCAACATATTTCAAGACAAAAATCTTTCTAAAAAAATAATGAAACTGCCAAAAATTAATAAATAGATACACATTTGTGATAAAATTTAATAATTTTTAAAACTTAATGTCTTTAATTGTAACTTTTCACCAGCCTCTTAAATAGCATCTTAAAATTCAGAAGATGGGGGAAATTCTTTGAAAGATAAAAGATCCTGCTTTGTAGTATCTTCTAAAAAAGACTTGTACTTTGAAGTAATTTTTCTGTAATATTAATCGCTGCTGTTCGATGATGATGATGCCTATGAAGTAAGCTTCTGCCATCTTATTGGTTTTTATTTTACAGAGGCGTAAGGGGAAACTTCGTCACAAAGGGAGTGTAAAAAGGTACAGTAGAAATAAGCTTTTGTTCTAAAAAAATTTGAAGAAAACTAGCACAGTATCAAAAAAAAATTAAAGGTAAAAACTACAATGGGTTAAGGAAGTGATTACTCAAAATAGAAAAATTAGATGGAAAACATTGTTTCTGTTCAGAGGAAGAAGGGTACCAGATATGGGAAAACAGAAAGTCAGTGATTTTTATGAGCTGCTTTTTTAAGCTTCCCCACTCTTATTTCATGAAATGGAATATTCTCTTCCCTCAGGGCTGAAAGCATTTTAGATTTGTTGATGTTCTGCCTTTAACTTTGCAGCCAAAACTAACATTGTTTTAATGGTAATATATTTCTATTTAAAATAAATTTGCAGTAAAAAGTTGATTCTGGGCTGCTTATGTGCAATCCAGTAATTTTGTAATTGCTTCTAAAGGCAATATAGCTATAGGCAAGTTGTCAGTAATTATGTAAAAGATACAAATCCTGGTTATAAGGAATTTTTCCATTAGGATAAACAATAGCCTGGAGAAAAAGGCAAGAGAAGAAAACCATATTTCTAAAAATTTAAATAAAAATGGAAAGGTAAAATCTAGTACAAAGATCTGTAAGGCATCTGCAGTTGGCACTTATTGTGAAATCAACAGACACTGTGCATACTTATACACCCCCACATGCTTAAACATGCTTGCATATACATTAAAGTTGTCTTACCTTTCCGTAGGAGAGCTTTAAAAGCAGAAATATATGAAAATACTAAAGAAACAGAAATTGATTAAGCTGTTTAAAATACAGTTCTTTATATATATTTAATTAATTTCTTCAGTAACACCTCTGAGATTTGTCTTAAACCTATTTGTTTGGTAGAATAACAAGAAGATACATGTATTTTTTTTTTTCTTGATTTATTACAATTCAGTCACATGGCTACTTATTTCTGGTTTAAGGGATATCTCTATGGCAAATCAAGATAGTAAGCAATGTTTCTAGTTAAAAAGAAAGCAAAGCCTAACCTGTTGAGTTATTATGTCAATGAAAATCTTTGCAGTGACTTCAGCAAGTAGTGGGTATAGACATATTCCCTGACATTTTTGAAGAATAAAATTTAATTCTGATTGCTTGATGTAGAACTAGATGTCCAGCTTTCAGAATCACAAAATGGGAAGGGATCACAGTGGGTCATCTGGTTCAACCTCCCTGCTCAGGTAGGGTCATCCTAGAGCACACTGCACAGTGTTGTGTTCAGACAGTTCTACACTGAGAGAAACTCCACAACCTCTCTGGTTAACCTGTTCTAACGCATGGTCACCAGCACTGTAGAGAATTTCTTCCTCCTATTCAGGTGGAACTTCCTGTGCATCAGTTTTTGCCCATTACCTCTTGACCTAATTCTTTGCACCACCAAGAAGAACCTGGCTCCATCCTCTTGACACCCTCCCATTAGTTACTCATAAACATTGATGAAGTCCCCTCTAAGCTATCTCCTTCTGAGGCTGAACAGACCCAGTTCCCTCTGCCTGTCCTTATAAGAGAGATGTTTAAGTCCCTTAATCATCTCTGTTGCCCTCCACTGGACCTACTCTAGGAGTTCTATGTATCTCTTGTACGAAGGAGCCCAGAACCGGACGCAGCACTCCAGATGTGGCCTCACTAGGACTAAAGAGAGGCGCAGGATCTCCTCCCTCAACCTGCTGTCAATGCTTTTCCTAAGGCACCCCAGGATACCATCAGCCTTCTTGCCCACTAATACAGAAATCCCACAGAGGAACAATAATTTTGA